CGGGCAAATGGATAGTGGCAATTTTGCTGGTGTTCGAACGTGTTCTCGTTTGGTCCAACTCAGTGACAAGGTCTTGCATCCAATGCACTGCAGAAGCTTAAATACCATGAACGCTGTCTTTCTAGGCAACTAGAAGCAGTGGAACGCTGCACTGTACGATAAATCCAGTGTAACGACTACCATATCACCGTAAACTAAGCAACTTTACCGCGTCAGACTAAAGTAATGACCAAGTAGAAAGAATTGAAAATGGTGCTAGAATGCCATTTTCAGTGAAGTTCTTAGATGTTCTGCAACCTTATTGTTCAATCTCCATACGGTTTTCTCGATGTAGATCAACCAGGGTAAACCGATCCGTCTTCTAATCGCATTCATTTCTTTCGTTCTCTGCAGCTGACGAGGTTTCTGGTAGATCATGTGACCCCAATGAACCGCTCATTTTGTAGTAAATTCGAAAACCTTTACACTCCAGATCAGTAAAGGGGATGAAGGCACTGAGTTTTCCCTTACTGAACAATTTCCTCACTCTAGCCATCGTTAAATTTCAGCTCGGTAGGCCTACAAAACCTTATATCTTTTAGACTATACTATTCATAATATTTTTTTAAAAAAAATTAGGGACAAGACTGAGTAGAAGTATCTGTTATAATGTTCAGGTTTTCGATAAACTGCATTTTAAGCAGCTCTGAGAAATCGGAAAACAGTATTCTGGCATCCTTTTCCATATTTTCTACTTGGGATATATTTAGTCGGACGAACGAAGATCGGCCAATTGATTAGATAAATCATTTAACAAAAGCCAACCGTGTAACGAATATACTAGCTTGCTTTGATTGAGCGATAGTTGGAATGTTATCCATCTTGTTCGGAAGAATTAACGGAAGAAAGGTGGCTGTCACTCAAATATTACATAAATGTTTTCATAACTTTATGCTGTTTCATTTGTAAATTATTATTTTAATAAAGACGCTGGTGTGCCGCATTGGCAAATAAATGACTCATCTTTATTACTGCTTCCTGAAACCAGGGATCATCAAGTGGAGATCATGTAAATATGTAGACGATATTTTCGGCGTCTGTCCCAAAGCGAACAAAAGTTTTCGACTTTCTTAACAGCCTTTTCCAGCAAAATATGGGGCTAAATAACGAAAGTGCCTGTTCTCGATTTATTCATGGCTAACTCCATGAAGTGTTATTGAACCAGGCCAATAGGACACTGCAAAAAAAGGAAAGATTGTAACCGCTGGGATTTCGATCCGCCACGCATTCCATGATGCGCAGACGCTCTCTTTGTTTAACTTG